ACATTCTCAGGCAACCCTTCATAAGGTGGGCGTCCTGTTAACAGATCCACGGGCGACCGAAGTTCCCGATCAAACATCAACTTTGCTGGAGTGTATCCAGTGGCTTCATCCTCTCATTTAATATCTATATCTGGTTCCACCATCATCAACTCCTTCACTCACTTTGACTTCAGCTTGATGACACCTAATTAGTTCAACCTCTCTTTTAACAGTTACCGGAGCTTGGCCTTTGTTGTTCCCAAAAGTCATTTTATCAAAATTAATTACAAACTTCCTCGGTAGTAAATAGTCCAACCCTAATATGCATTGGTCTTCAATGTAAGCCAAGTATACTTTTTGTCTGTCCTTTATGCCCATGAGCTCAATAGTTACCCACACTGGTCCCCACAACCTCGCATAATGTCCTGTCACACCAGAAAGCTTCTGTATGGCTTCTGGTACTCCATTATGATCCAGCATTTTGATACTTACAAGGGTTTCCTGAGATGCAGAATCTATGACAAAGTTGCACCTTTGGCCATCCAGCTTTCCTGTCACGTAGACACTGCGTGTGCTTGCCATTTTACACCTAGCTGTTGGGACTTTCATGATGGGGATTGGTGGGTGTCCCTCAACACCAACCACTACTGGTCTCCTTGAGGCTGACTCGTTGGCAATATTCTTCTTACACTGGCTCCTCATATGTCCTTGTTCCCCACAGTTCCAACAGCCTTTCTGGGTAGCAGCCTTTCCTGCTGTATCATCTCCCCTGTGTTGAAGTTTCCAGCATTGAGCTCTCTTGTGCCCAGATTTGTTAGAGTGCCAGCAAAGTCCCTCAAACCTCTCTGAAAGCTGACCTTTTCTGGCCTTGAATCCTGATGATTGTACAAACCTTGGTACCTCTGTGCTGGACTTAACGTAGGATTCGAATTCAAGAGCTCTGACCATTGCATCATGCATAGTAGAGGGGTGTGCTTGCTTCACTTGTACCTTTAGTTGTGGACTGTACAAGGCATCTACAAACTGATCTCTCAGCAACAACTTGAGGAGATCGGGTGGTGCAGTTGGGTAGGCCTTGTGTGCCATACTTACCAAGTCCTGTGCCAGCTCTTGCAGGCTCTCCCCTTTAACACGACCTCTCGTCCTGAACCTAGCCCTGTAGACTTCAGACTGATTTTGGGTTCCGTACCTGAGTTTTAGAGCCGCTACCAGTGCTCTATAGTTGTGCCTGTCATCTGCTAACAACTGTCCAAGTATTTCCAGTGGTTGTCCCTTCAAGCTCGTTGTCAGATATACTGCTTTCTGCTCCTCTGTCCATCCATCATTTCTGCCAGTAGCTCAAATTGTGCTCTATATGCTTCCCACGGTGCCTTCCCATCGAATTCCAATGGCTTCCTTCATACTGGATCACCCCTATTGCTGA